GAGAACTCAATATGTAAATCTGAGAGTTGTTTGCATCGACATGGGAGTTCCTGAGATCACTATGAGGAAGGATCCTGAGTAGAGTACAGAATGTGGATGTCAAGTCAGCCAAGGAGACTGAGAAAGATCTTATCTGTCCAACAGGCAGGAAGAGAACCACAAAAGAAGTGTTAAAAGAAAAAACAACCCAGGGAGGGGAAAAGACTCAGGAGGATAGGGAAATAACAATATCAAAAGATGCAGGAAGAACAAGAAGATAGAGAACTGAGAATAAGATGGCCTTACTGAGTGCAGCTTCAGAAGAATGGTGGGTAACAGAAAGCCAAACTACAAGGAGTTGAGAAGTGAGTGGAAGGTGAGAAACGAGAGGCAACTGAGTGTAGAGTTTTCTTTCCTAAAAGAGTGAATGTGAAAAGGTAGAAGAAATACAGCTTGAGAGTTAAGCGAAAGTTTTTTATTTTTAAGGCTGGTGGGGAATTTTGTCTTGTTTGTAGGTAGCAGAGAAGGAGCCAGTGGATAAGGAGAGATGTAAAATCAGGGATAAAGTAGGAATAATTGAAGGGGCAAACTCCAGGATGGGATGGGATCAAGGGCATAATGGGGTTGGCACTGACAAGGAAAGGAGACCTCTTCATCACGGACTGAAGCACAAGAGGAGAGAAGAGGAAATGACGCTAATGTGATCTGAAGTGGGGAACTTGGGAGAAGAGGAAGCTTACAATGGATGGCCCACATTTTTTCAGTGAAGTATGAGGTGAGGTACTCTGCAGAGAAGAAAGACGGAGGGGGAAAGTGGAAGAGTACATGGTTTCAGGAGAGAAGAGAAAGTATGGAACATCTCCAGCAGAAAATACCATGGAGTTGAGCAAAGAAAAATCTATTTACTGAAGTGCAGAAGTGAGGAACCAGTTTGGAACAGATAACATGTTTGAAGTGGACCCAATCAACATGGCATATGCCTTCTTCTAGATGCTCATTGTGAGTGGAAAAGGTAGATGCAAGGGGAATCTAGGACTACAGCACAAAAAAGGAATGAGTGTTGAGAATAATGACAATGATAGTAATAATGATCTCACATATAGTATTTTTAAGGTCTGCAAAGTGCTTTATAAATATTTTCACAACAACCCTACTAAGTAGGTGCTGTTATTATCCTCATTTGACAGATGATAAAATAGAGGAAAAGAGTTAAATGACGTGCTCAGGGTCATACAGCAGAACAATGGGGCCAAAGGGTCAAGGACAACATAAATCTGAAGTGGATGACTAAAATGGACATTTTTGAGGCAGAAAAGAAAGGCCACAGCAGGGTAAAATACAGAAGGGTAAAGTGCGCCTGGAGACTGAAATGAGGACATACAATGATTTTAGGAGGAGTGAGGTATAAAAAGAGCTAAAAGGACAGAAGGTTATGTCTGACCAGCCACAGGAATTTCAGAATTATGGACTGTGAGGATGATTTTTAACAAGTCCCCAAGTAAAAGGACAGTGTTTAGTGTGGAGACAAAGACTGTGAGTCACATAGAGCACTCCTAGAGAACAGAACGACCTTGGGGCTGGCAGGTCACAGCCATCAGGATCTGACAGGATAAAAAACCTGAATGGAGAGAACCTTAAAGCAAGAGAGGCTGCTGAGTCAAAGTGGCAGGGGGAGGGCCTGGGTGCTAGTGAGGAGTAAGAAGTATGTCTCTTTTTCTCGTGCATCAGGGCACAAGAAAAGGTGCACCAAGTACTGCAGAGGATTGCTAGAGATAAAGTGTTATCAGGGGATAGTCAGTTTTCTGTGACTGCAAAGAGATGGAAAGCGCATGAAAGGAGGAGGTCCAACATGAAAGGGAGTTGGTTTAAAAATAGATGGAGATATCTACAGGGTACAGTGGAAGTAGAGGGTAGAGCTGGATAGAGACCTAAGAGGAACAGGGCTGACATGGATGGATATGAAGAATATCTATCCATCCCGGGCCTGGTGGCCAGGAAAGAGAGCTTTGGTCTAAGTTATCTATGACTCAGAATCACAGGAATTCTTGAGTCACAGGAGAGCCACAAAGCATTAAGATTGTTATGAGCTTTCCCAAAGGCAACAGCAATGTCAATTTGATTACTGTGTCCTGAGTAAGACAAAGTAGTGTCTTAAGCTTCCTAAGTAGGGAGCTACTGAAGTTTCTTGAGCAAAGGAGTGACACATTCTTGTGTGTTCAGAAGATTATTTTTGTTGAGGCAGTCAGGGTCACACAACTAGTAAGTACCTGATGCTGGACTTGAACTCAGGTCCTCCTGACTCCAAGGCTGGTGCTCTATCCACTGTGCCACCTAGCTGCCCCGAGATTATTTTGGCAGCTATGTGGAAAGTGTATTGATTGGAGAGGAGAGATTAGATACTAGTAATCTAATTAAGAGGCTGTTGCAATAGGTTTGATGAGACTCATTTAGGGTCACAGATGTGTAGTGGAAAAGGGACAAACATCAGAGACATGGGAGTGGAAAGAAGAATCAGAGAGGCAGCTAGGTGGCACAGTGGATAGAGCACCGGCCCTAAAGTCAGGAAGACCTGGGTTCAAATCCAGCCTCAGACCAAACACTTGACACTTACTAGCTATGTGACCCTGGGCAAGTCACTTAACCCCAACTGCCTAAAAAAATCTAACCAAAAAAAAAAGGAAAAGAAAGAAAGAAAGAAGAATCAGTAAATCAATTACAGCTCTGAGAACTCACTGGGGACAAAACTTGTACAGAGGTGTGGCGTTTAGGGTCAGTTGCATGGACATTCTAATACTTTCTCAGACCCATTACTGCTAGTCTCTCTTTTTATCTCTCCCCATCTTTTTCTATTTTGGGAGATGGGTAGAAGCAGTAGTGAGGATGAAATTTCATTAAAGCACACTTATTTCAGATGAAATTACACAAACACTTGAGGTTTGGGGGCCTAGAAATCCTGTCTAAAAATCAGCCATAACATGAAGTAATAGAAAGAGAAAAGACAAGTGACAGACACACACAGAAAGATGCCTGAACACACCTATGTAATGAAATGAAAGACACACATGAATGCGCACAGAAAAACATACATACTGAGTCTTTATGAGTGAGATGAGGCAAGCCCAAGTGAAAAAGGCAGTGACAGTGCTAGAAAGAGCCAGCAGAGAAAAACTAACAGACTGAAACCCCTGACTAACAGACATGCGCATGAAGGAGGGGAGCTCACTGACAGGAAGGAATCACAGATTCTCAGAGCTGGAAGGGCCCTCATAGGCGATCTGGTACAATACCTAACAGGGACCCTCTAACATCCCTCAATGGTCAATTAAGTCTCCACTTAAAGACCTCACCCAGGGAACTCACTACTTTCCAAGGTAGCCAAATCCACTTTTAGTTAGTTCTAATTGTTAGTTTTTCCTTACACTGAGTGCGAATTGCGCTAGAACTAAGTAAAACAAATCTAGAGGATTTTAGGCATTCCAACTCTGGGCTAACTGCTGCCTGCAAAGGGGGTAGCAATTCCTAAGAACTGATTTTAAGAACCTGGAGAAGATATACATGACAACTTCGTCCCTCTAAGACCAAGTTTCACTTTGAAGAAAATAAGTTCTTGGCATGAAGAAGATGGGAGGAGTGGAAAGCCTGGCAGATGAAAAGTAAAGTACAGTAAAGGACATGTAGGCAGCTAGGTGGCCCAGTGGCGGAGCGATGCACCTGGAGTCAGGAAAAAGATCTGAGTGTGAATCTTGCCTCAGAAACACCCTAGCTGTGTGGCCCTGGGCAAGTCATTCAACCCCTCTCAGCCTCAGTTTCTTTATCTGCAAAATGAGAGTAATTACAGCACCTCCCAGGATTTTTCTGAGGATCAAATGAGATAACACGGATAAAGCTCTGTATAAAGGCTAGCAGATATAAGGACATCCCAACCCAGAGAGAAAACTCTGGCAGAATACTGCAGGATCTTGACCTCAGATGATGATCTCAGTTGTAAGACTCAGTTCAAACATCAGACACATGGTGGGTCTGTGAGTTATTGCGAGCTGAAGAGCTCCCAGAGCCTCTGTGTTAAACAGTGAGCACAGAATCCTAATTACATCCTAATAGAATCCTAGATTATCCTGAGAGGGCACAGAGTTCAACCCCCTCATTTGACAGATGAGGAAGCTGAGGCACAGGGAGCTGAAGGGATTCCACAGGTGGTATCTGTGGTGGGATTTGAACCCGGGTCTTCCTCATCCCAAGTCCAGGACTCTATCCTTAAAACTATGCTGCTTTTCTGTCACAGTAAGATAAATACAAAACTGGCCATGCCACGAAGGACCTCCCATTCTACTGGGGATGAAGGGGACATAGGTAAGTAAATGCAGCACAAAACAAATAAATGAGAGAACAAACAAGCATAGCAATAAATAAATAGCCTGTGCAAAAGGACAGAGAGAGGAAATGGAATGCCCAATCTAGGGGACACTGGGCAGTGCAGGACCAAGCTGTCCCTTGGCTCTTTAGTTAGTGCTCTCCAGTCAGTGTCAGCCTCATTCACATGCCAGGAGCTACCAAGATCCCACAGCTCAACCAAACGAGGGAGGCCCTGAGAAAACACTGGTGCTGCAGTGTTCTCTCTCATGGCTGTTCAGAAGACCTGAGGAGCTGTCTCCTCATCTCCCCCACACAGATACAGTCTGAGGCTCAGCCAGGCCAAGGTGGGAGTACAGTGTTCCTTTCAAGCACTAAATTTGGATACAATGAGCAAACTGCCATCCTGATGTGAAAGGGGAAGGGGACGAGGGAAAAAGATGGAAGAATGGATAGAAAGGAGGAACCTCATCTTTAAGCCTAAAGGGAAAAAGAAGGCAGCAGGAAAAACCAGGCTCAGGGCTCTCTGTCCAACCCTTCCCACTCCCCCTACACAAAGAGGAAGAGGAATAGCATTTTTCCAAATAATGATCCTTCCTGCCGCCCACAGTACCCACTGTACCTTCACAGCCTGCCTCAATCAGAGCCTCTGACACTGAGCGGTGACTCACCTGTGAGATCATGTGATTACTCAAGGGTGGCTGTTGCTGGGGTGTGGGTGGGAGAGCTGGATGCTGCTGCTGCTGCTGCTGCTGGGTAGTACAAGGGAGAAGGCCCCGGACAGGCTGGGATGAGGTGACCTGGTTGCACGCTTCCGGGGCACCTAGTGCTAAACCTAAAGCACAGATGAGACACAAAGCAATGAACACAAACTAATCCTGCCATAGTTCTGTCCTCCTCATCCATCAACTCCACTGTCTCCCCATCCCTCCCTCAAATATCCCTGCAATGGCACAGATTCATTTCAGTTCACCTGCTGAAGGGAGTGATCACTCACCTCCCAGAGGAGGGGAATTGCTCTGTCATCAGTGTGCAGTTCTGAGATTGAACCAGATGTGAAGCTGGTGGGTAATGTCAGGAGCAATTAGGCAGCCTCAGAACATAAGTGCCGTTCCCTCCCATGTCCAAGGAAGGACTGCAATGATATTTACCCAGGCTTCTGGTCCCAAGAGAGCTCTGGCTTCTCTTGGGTTTCCTTTCTACCATCAAGTATGTTTAAAGAAAATGCTGAGAAGGCAAGTCTGCTTCTCTTGGTACATTTATGTGTGCAACCCCTCCCCTCCAAATTCTCCTTCCCCATTTCAGACTAGCTCACATTGGCAAGACAAGGGCCTAGACAGAAGCTCTTCCAAGACAGCAGGTTTCAACAGTAGACTTTTTAATACTGTGAATCTAAGCTAGAAACAAGACCTGGAGAACAAACCTCAGGCCACAGTCGATCAATTTTCCAGAGATGGCTAGGTATTGGGGAAACATCGGGTAGTAAAGGTTAAATCTTCTAGTCTATATGCTCAATAGACATAGGGAGGAGAGAAGGCAGGAGAATGTGTAACAATGAAGAAAAAGCCAGGGACATCTTTATGACCATGGCCTGCACAGTAGGTGTTGGGGGTATACAAGAGAAATTTCCTTCTTCCTAATGTTCAGGACTCCAAGGGAACATGAATGCTTGGGCTCCCTGAAGTCCTATAACGGCTCTATTTCTTCCAACTGGTCACAAGGTACACAGCTCAGACTGTTGCCATCCCTCTTCTATGTAGCCACTATCATCTCAGGGCTCACAAGAGACTGAGAAGACACCCAAAACCCGCTCTCCTATGCAGCTTGGTTTATAAGCTGGACTGTGGACTAGCAGAGGCGTCCTCCTCAGTCGGGACAGCAGATAAAGTGACAGGGCCTAATAAGGCAGTGGGATTCATCACATGACTAGGGTCTGAAGGAAATCAGGCAGTGGGCTTTATAAAGTAAAGGGAATGCCTCTTCTGTCCCTGCTGTTAGGTTTTCAAGACTGGAGCCACTGTTCTGTTGTACGTCGATGCTAGGGATGGTTTTCAGAAGAACTGGCTTTGATGCAGAAGTCTGGGGGGAAGGGAGGCTGTAGTACCTGGCCTGGAGATTCTTCCTGCACTCCCTCCTTTATTGCTCCCAATGCTGTCACCCCGGGTGAGAATGGAGATCCCACTGAAGCTGCTGGCTTTGGTAACAGGTGGCCGCATACTGCGGACAGAGCCATCTGAGTCTGTGCTGCTCCAGGGCCGGGGCTCCAGAGATTTGATCTCGCTGTCTGTGCTGCTCTGGCGGCTGCTCGAGGTACGGCTCAGCCCCTCACGGTTCCCCCTGCAGAGACCACAGTGGTCAGAATACCCCCCACCCCACCACCTTGGCATAAGAGCTAGAGGAAAGCTTATTTCAGTTCTTTTGAGAACAATGAAGACGGGGCACACTGATTTCTTGTTAGCTGGCCAGCTGATTGAGGCTTGATGGGAGCAGACAGAACAAGACTAAGAGTGGCAACAAAGAGCAGAAGGGCAAATCTGGGAGAGAGAGAAAGAGAGAACTGGTGACTGATCTAACAGAAATGGCTGGGACACAACACAAAACCCAGAGACTAGCTTCAGCCTCTTGTCCCCTCCTGAGAACGCACATACAGAGGAACTGACGGCCTAGCGGACCAGGGGAAGAGATCGCCTGTCTGAAAGTGGGCCAGTCACAATGATGAGAAAGAATAAAGTTCTAGCAAGCTCCCTGTGTAACTCCCAGATCCAAAACCCAGCAAAGGTCCAGATCACGGCCAATTCTGAGGGGCTGTGGAGGTGCCTATTGGTCTGGCACTGGGGCACCTGGCCCAGCCTGCTTAATGGCACCTGCTATATATGGAGATTTGGGCACAATTGGTTCCAAAGACTTCCAGCCAAGTAGAATCAAACAAACTTCTCTCTGGGACTCAGAGCAATGAGAGAGGAAACACTGTGCCTACATCCTCCATGTCCATGCACATCACTATATCCCCAGTCAAAAGAACAAGGAGAGTTATAGGGGGAAAGGTATTTTCTTTGTTGTTCTACTTTATTTTCTTGTCTTTTTGGTGTTTTTTGCTAGGCAATGGGGTTCAGTGACTTGCCCAGGGTCACACAGCTAGTGAGTGTTTTGTGTCTGAGGCCACATTTGAACTCAGGTCCTCCTGACTCCAAGGCCAGTGCTCTATCCACTGTGCTACCTAGCTGCCCTGTTGTTCTACTTTAAGTGACAGAAAGGGCAGGGCTTTCCTGCCAGTCTAAAATGTTAAGTTTAGACTGAAAAGCCTAATTCCTATTGACCTCCCAACCACTGAAGGTCCCCTATCATTAGGCTATCAAACGCCAGGGATTTTCTTCTCATCATCGATAGCATATTTGAATTGGAGATAAGAGATATTAAGAGCAAGTGGGAGGGCATTTGTCCTCAACTAAAATATATAGCCCCAGTCTGCTGGTACCCAAGAAACTGTCTCACTTTAGGAAATAACTTGAACTTCAACTATAAAGCATTACACAAATGACTCCAATTCCCCTCACCCCTGCCCAGATGTTCAGTGGGGTCAAAAGTCCTTTCCTTAGTTTGGCCATCTGTTAAAGCAGGTATGCCAGAACTGGGTCCAACCCCTTGCCAGACAACAAAGGCTCCTGATAAAACTTTCTCTCTCAGAGACTGTCATATGTTTAAAAAAAAAAAGAGCCTCATGTCTCTTGAATATTTGACCAGAGGGAGAGGCTTGTGGGCAGGGCCTTTCAAGGATTGTAAAATCACCTCTATCTTCTTAGGATTTCCACATATGTCAGGAAGAGTCAGGAAGAATGGAAATATGAGAGAAGTATAATCAGTGTGGAGTGACAAAATCAAAGACAGTGGCAAGAAAAGAGCCAACAGCAAAAGGAAGACCAAGAAGGGACCTAATAGAGGGTGAGAAAGAAGGAAGAATAGGGGGAGGAAAAGGGAAAGAAAGAAATGAAAAGAGGGAAAGGAGGAGAAAGCAGAAGGTAAATGAAGAGGCAAAGGGAAAGGAAAAAACAAAAGAGGGAGAAGAGAAAGGGAAAGGAAAGGGAGGAAGGAAAAGAGGACTAGGGAAAGGAAGAGAGACAAAGAGAAAAGAGAAGCACAGAGAAAGAGAGAAAGGAAGAGAAGAAAAGGGGAAGGAAAAAGAAAAAGGAGAGACAGAAAAAGGGAAAGACAGAGAAGGAAAAGGAAAGGGACAGAGGCCAATAGAAAGGAAGAGAGGAAGAGGGAAAAGGATAAAGGAAGAGAGGGAGAGTAGGAGAAAAGGAGAGGAAAAGGAAGAAAGAGATGGTGAGGTACAGAGAAGAGAGAGAACGTGTGTGTGTGAGAATGTCTAGTCTGAATTTTAGGGACAGAAGGCAACCAACCCTCATGACCACTTCCACCTAAACCAATCAAACACTGCCATCTCCTGTAACAATTCTGCCATCCACCTACCTGCTCTGCATGAAGCCGGAGAATTAGTGTAGCTGTTCTCAGAACATCAAACCCAGAACCAGAGGGAAATATTTGAGGGTGCTGAAATGAAGCTAGTGTTGGGGGAGCTTGGAATCAAGCTTAGCAGAATCATTATAATCTTTCAGCAGCAGCCCCAGCCCATAAGTGCCAGACAAACTGAGTTATAAACAAAACCCCAATGAAGGTCAAAGACGCTGGAATGAATTTTGGCCAGGACAAAGTCTCAATGTCCTCCCTCCACAATTACAACTTAAGTCCCACTGGGCTCAAATGCAGAACCTCGTTGCTTCAGTGCACCATCAAAAAAGTGGGCAGAGAATAAAACTGATGGCTACAATTAGGTTACAATACTATTGTCTCTGAGCATTGGCCTAGGGATCACACTTCTTTTAGACTAGATAAATCAGGTGCTGGTTTTAGTTTCTGGAAATAAGTTTAATGTTAAACTTAAACTCAATTTAAAATGGTCAGGATAGTAGGGTAGGAGGCAGGAAGTATTTGGAACAAAAAGCAAGGGACCCAGCAATTTCCCCCCTAGCGCTAATGAATGTGTTCTATCTAGACAGAGGCAGGATGAGAAGTTAGCCAGGAGTTTGGGGCGTTGTCCCACTTACTGCTAATCTAGATCCAAAACTTCTGTCTCTTTGCACTTACTTCCCAAACATTTTTTGGGAGTGTGGATAGGGGAGGTGAATGATGGAGAACAGGGAGAAGGGGGGCTAATAGATTGAAGCTTTTGAGCACTGGAGATCTGAACATCATTACTGACACTCTAGAATGGTAAGAAGTCACTTTCTCAGAACCTATCAAACTGCATGCTCAGGGATGTAAATCTTTAATCAAAATTCTTGATAAAAAGTTATAGCTAAAGAAGGTTTGGTAGGAAGTCAGGGGCTATGCCTACTCACAGGTTCTTCTAGTTATTCTCCTTAAGTGTAATGCCACAGAGTTTAGTAGAGTTTTAATCAGTCAATCTTAATTAGGTATCAGAAGAGAACACTCAAAGAGGAGACTTGAGGGCTCAGAGAGGGGCAAAATGTTGTAGTGTAAAAAGCACTCCAGCCTCATCAGAAGACTTGTGTTAGAATAACAGCTCTGCCACTTAGCAGCTCTACAAATTCAGGCAAACCTTGATGAGCCTCAGTTTCCTCACCTGTAAAATACAGATAATAATACCTGCCCTGCCAACTTACAACATTGGTACAATCAAATATTAATGTATTTTGAAAGTTATACATTGCTACACAAATATTATTAATGTTATTAAGCCATTCTTTGTGCAAAAGATTTGCAGTGTCTTCTGAGAAAAGTAGCTCTGGGCTTCCAGAATCCAGAACCATCTTAGAGGCATCTTAGTTAGAGGCTCTCACACTTATTTTCTGTGAAAAATGATCCTGAATAGGAACCTAGTTTATGCAGGATCTAATGAATCTGAGTTGAGGAATGGACCAGGAGCTAGATAAAGGAACCCCATTCCCAATCCCCAACATTATTCAAAAGCTTCCTATAAATGGAGGCTGTGGGGTACACCCTATGCACAGGAAGCTGGGATGGTCTAGAAAAGTTCCACATCTTTTCCAATTCAACTTCAATTATATGAATTCCATTTGTTTTGGTTCCATTTGGCTATGCGGCTTGGACTTAATCCGAATGCCAATCAAAGGTGGAAATCACATCCGAGGGGAATGTAATTGTAGGTACCATTTGGAAATTGTTGTTCAGTTGTTTTTTAGTCGAGTCTGACTCTTTATGACCCCATTTTGGGGTTTTCTTAGCAAAGACACTTGAAGTGGTTTGCCATTTCTTTTTTCCAGCTCATTTTACAGATGAGGAAACTGAGGCAAACAGGGTTAAGTGACTTGCCCAGGATCATACAGTTAGTAAGTGTCTGAGGCTGGATTGGAACTCAGGAAGATGAGTCTTCCTGACTCCAGACCTGGCACTCTATCCACTATACCACCTAGCTGCCCACCATTTGGAAACTATCTGGGTCCAAAGCCTAACTTGATAGTGCTTTATATGAAAAGATCTGAACTTTATGCTGAAATTTTCTCATTTATAAAATGGGGAGAGCATACCACAAAAAAAGATGAGCAAAAACAAGTGGCTGAATCCAGTAGCCAGTCTTTTATGTGAAATGAGCTGGAAACACTGACATAGAGACATGACCCTAGAGCAAAGGCTTCTCCCATAACCCCTCCCATAAATGGGCCCTGCTGGGGTGGGACTGAGATAACACAATGAAGGGGAGAAACTCATGCTGTACCTGCTCTGTGGACAAAGGGAGGGCACCAGGCTCTGGGACTGCCAATCCGGCATCATTCACCAGCACTAAATGCGATTGAAGCGTAGGAGAAAGAGAACCATATAAAGAACATGCTCTCGGCTCACCCTGGGGCAGGTAGGCCCTTCCAGAGGCTACTTTGTCTTCCCTTGCCTCTAGGTAGAACTATTCACAAATAATCCCAAACAGACTAATTAGAAGGCAGGGGTTTGGGAGTCTCTTCTTCTTAAAGACTGTACAACCTACTCTTCTACTGAACCAAGAATATACTTCCCAAATCCTTCCACAAATTCAAGATTGGTATCTGTAGAAGACATAGTTCATCCTTCCTCAAAGAAATAAATGTGTTAATTGCATCCACTTCACTCAATTCCTGTAGCTTTTCTAGGGACGGAAGAGAAGCAGGAGACTCTTCCGGTCCCTTTCACCTACCTATCCAGGGCTTAAAACTTAATCAGAAATAATATAATTTAGCAGGAATTGTGTCAGTGTGGTGTTTTTTTTTTTTTGAGAGGGGAGGGAGAAAGGAAGAGGAAGGAATCCAATACTGCAAATACCACAGGTTGAACAATTCCACAAGCAGCCATGCATGGTGCAAACTCACTCTGCTGAACAGATTATGGCCAAAAAAAAAAAGGGGGGGGAACGACACACAGAGGTACCTAAAACTCTGCCTTCTTTTGTGAGAGCTAGAAGAAAAGGCTTCTTTGGAGAGTCTGTTGGTTAACATCAAAGAAAAGCATCATTACAGGATTACTTTATCCTTGCTGACAAAGCTCAGTGTGAAGCAGGGAACATGCTAAGTGGTACTAACCTGATGTCATTTAGATATCCGTTCTGGCCAGTCTAGGTGGGGGAGGAGAAAACGGAAAATAACTTATAAGAAAACAGCATGGCACATCTGAAAAAGGGCGTCCAAGACACTTTGAATACCCAAGGTTCTCAAACCAAAGGAGCTCACCCCAACCAGTGCGATCTTAAGATAAGAAAAGGGGGCAACGAAACCCTTACCCACACACCCACTCTAACTTTGGATCTTTAATGGGAATATGTTAAGATCTGGAATGCTTCCCTAAGCATTTGTCTGATGACAGAGGTTGGTAAGGAATAGGAATGGGAAAAGGGAGAAGAGGAAGGTATATCTAACTATCTTGTTTTGTCCTTGATTCCCCAGGGGCTACACAGGGCTTACTAAACTATGGATTTGGCTTCTTATATGAGTTATGGAGGAATGGAGGAAGACCCAGGTGATTTGGAAGTACCCTCAATGGCCACTCTATCTCCATCTACTACATTGACCAAAAGGAAAGTGGCCCTGATGACACCCAGAGAGGCTTAGTGGAACAAGGGGAAGTAGGAGAAGCTACTTTCTACATCTAGAGGAAATCCTAAGTAAAATAAATAGCATCAAGGTGGACTCCTCTGGACATGTGATCAACAGTGGTACTAACAATGTCTAGCCACTGATCTGGGTAGGCACTGGAGAGAAACCCAAGCAGGATAGCATTCCCTTTCTAGAGCTTAGAAGCTCTGTTGAAGGCGGCAGCAGCAGCAGCAGCAGCAGCAGCAGCAGCGTTTCCATCCAAACAGCCTTCTTTGCCACCTTACTTTCTGATTTTTAGGCTTCCCCTTACCAGAATCCACAATGGCAACTTAATCAAATCCCCCTGGTTGATGAGGGGTCCCTTGCAATTGGGAATCAAGCAACTTCTTTCCTGGGGCTTTTGGGCTGTGTCCAGCTTTCTCAGTCTGGAGGTTCAAAGCTTCCTAACTCCTCCATCACAGCAAGAAGTAGGAGGATCCAACATGAAACTCAGAAATCCACAGAGATTTGACAAAGAATCTAGGCCTCAGTAGAGGCATGAAAAGACAAGGGATTTTGGAAAAAAGGGAAAGAAGATTTCTAAACTATTTTCCTCAGTTTCTACTGTATTGCTATTTTCTAAGTATTTCTGACAACTAGACCCACACCACTATTTAGCTAAGAAAAACTGATTATTTTTTATAAAGTTTGTTGATTTGCTAAAGGATAACACGGTGGGTGCTTATCTTATTTGTGCTAATGAGGCCATCAAGGACTGGAGGTTGGTGAGGAATAGCATCAAATCAGGCTGCCTATGTCAGTGCTTGTGCTTTTCACTGAAGGATACTATTATTACCTCGTCCATATGATGCTAAGGAACATTGCTGACCCCAGCCATGTGCAAATGGCAGCTCTTCTTAAATTTCATCCAATCATTGGTCAGGATGGCAAGCTCTAGTCAGAACGTTCACTGAATTTCTGAAGGATTATCCTAACTCAGGAGGTGAAAGCCCACACAGGCATAAGGTAAGAAGATTATTCTCTTTGGGCTTTGGGAAAGGAAACTTATTGCACAAGTGTTCCAAATTAAGTCCTGTGGAAGGACTTGGGTCTTCTGAGGCAATGGAGAAAGCTCAATTTTATTGAAATGTCTTCCCTACCCCACTTCATTCTTCTGAGCTGAGTGACAGTAAGAAGTAGCATTTTGAGGGTGGGGAGAAGGGTAATTAGGAGGAGAAGGGAAAGGAGTCAGGAAGTGAGGGTTTGAATGGATAGTGGGGTCAGAACTAAGCATATCTTAAGTGACCATTCTACTGACCAGAAAGGAATGTTGGTTCTTCATCTAAGTATGATTGGTAGCTGTTAATGCTATCCTCTCTTGACTAAAAACTCCTGTATTCCTACTGCCCCTCCTTTTCTCCTAGTATGCAGAGGCAGACCAACAGAACTTTGGGACCAAGAACATCGGACATGGCCCAACTGCCTTAGAGAAGGATGTTGCCCACGTGCCAAAGGCCATGGACCCAGCTGTGTTTCAAAAAAGTATAAAGTAAGAAACATACATAGGTAGAAAGAGGCTCCTTGTTTCAAAGGGCAGTGTAGGATATTGAGTGGGAAACAGTGGTGTTCTCTATGCTTTTGGAAATAAGGAACTCAGAGAGAATGGACACCAGTCCCGTGTTTCTGAAATCACCAACATCCTTAAAACTAGGGTGACTAAACAAGATGGATGTATTAGCCACACAGATTGTAAATCTGCCCCTTGGGGGCAATGACGCCTAAAACTGGGAAGTAGAAGTTGGAGGGGTGGTGGGAAGGGTGGGATGGGCAAAGCTTAGGGCCCTCCCAGATGCCCTGCTCAAACCAATTCTATTTTCAATCTATCAGGTCTACCAAACTCAGCCAGCTCCAAATTTCAGCTCTCCTTGCCCACTACACAACAAATACACATTGAGAATAATACAGATAAAAATCTGTAGCTCCTTCAACAGACTCTTAATTTTGGAGGTCAAATCTGGAGTTGGTCGATGTTGGGTTTTTAAACATTTATTTATGGAAGATTCATTCCATTCACAGTATCAAAGATAAAGCACTAAGAACTATGGGCTGACAACTCTCAGAAGCTACACTTACCTCTCGGGCAAATATTCTCTCTCGAACCCTTTGATATTCCTCCTCTCTCTCTTCTATTGACTTGCTCCTCCTTCCATCCTGTAATGGAACTCTGATCTAGATCGATGAGCAGAATTAAGCTAGTTAAGTTCTCCTCGTACTGCAAGCTCACTGCACACCAGCAAGGAAGAGAAACCGGGAGAGTTTATAGTTGCCATCAAAAAACTGGGGAAAAAAAACCCTAATCTTGGGCAGATTTCACTGGGTACATCTGACCATGCAGTTTGGGAGACAGAGATTTGGGTAGAGGGGAAGTGAGGGGAAAGGGATGGTAAGAGGTACTCTCTTTACCTCCCAAAGAATCAAGAAGAGCAACCATTTATATATAGATCAGGCTGCTTCTCTGCAACAATAAGGTACCTCTCCAGCCAGTGAGAGCCTACAATAACCCTGGAAAATAAAATACTGTCTTGGAAGGAGAGTGAGGAGTAGAAAGAAGTCAGATAAGGAAGAGAAACAGTTATAACCTTAGCAGAGTTTAAGGAGAAAATTTTAATAATGGGCCAGCTTAAACCTCTCCTTTTTAATTCACTATTTTCTCAACCTGAAAATGTAAACTATACATGGTTTAGGCAACAAGACATTGAAAATAAATTCTAAAGCACAACTGTCAACTAGGCTCTTTAATCTTATAGCTGGCTATGGCCATTAGAGGGAGGAAGAGGGATAGAAGACTAGTATATGTGCATATATGTGCGCGTGCGTGTGTGCGTGTGCGTGTGCGTGTGTGTGTGATTAAACAGCGAAATAAAGAGGAAAGGACAAAGGAAAACAAGAAAGAATAAAGAGAAGGTTCAACAAGAAGGCTGGATGGGCAGAAGGACAGACAGAAGTAGGGCTGGAAGAGAAGAAAGAAGGATGCACACTGTGTTGCCCAAGGGGCTAAGAACCAAGAAATGGTTAATTTTACAAATGTAGAAAGGAGTGTAATTTTATAGCAAAGGGCAGGCTTGGCAGAAACACCACCTCTCCACCTCAGGTCAGATCTCCCATTCCTTTTTTCTAGCTCCTTGGTATGTCTAGTAACGAATATGACTACTGAACATCATTCTACTCTGGAAACTATAGGTGATACATTCTTAGATTCTCTTAGAAGGTAAAGGATCTTGGGTGAGATGAGAGACCACATGAATATCTGAGGGGAACCACTAAGAGAATCTAACTTTTAATTCAGTAGCTTTGAAAGGCATAAATAAAGCACCCTGAAGAAGAGGGCTATTGCAGTGAACTATTCATTCTGACCTACCAATCCCCAGTGAGTAGTTGTAAGCATCAGGAGAGTTACATTTTGGCTAGTTGGGGGTCTCTGTAACCAGGGTTTCTCAAGAACCCGCACTCCACCAGATGTCCTTCTAAAGCCTAATTCCAAATAGACATCAGTCCTCATCTGTATAATCCCTGCTCACCAAGTGCAACAGATGAGGGAGGGCCCAGAGCCAGCTCCGTTACATATGAAGAACAAAGTTGAGTGGTATGTATAAGTTACATAACTCCTCTAACTCAATTTGCCTCTAGATCTGGAAAATTTCTAATTCATACAAAATAGACCACTGGAGATATGGAAAGAAGGGTATTGGCATGGAAAGGCTGTTGTGCTTTGTTTTTCCCAACCAGGCCCAGTTTGTCCACGACCATCATGATGCTCCAACCTAGGAATATCTCTCACATATGCCCACAGAAAATGCTCCTGTTTTCTTCACAGCACCCTACATCCCAGTTAGGAATAAAAATGGGACACTACTTATCACACAGAGACTAGATAGAATTATATCAACTGCTCTCTAGGTCCTCCAAATTCCATATAGCTTTTCTTCTTTTGCTCTCTTCCTACTACCCTTTGGAGACTACATCAGAAACTGAGTCCTCATTTAGCTAAACTGATCAACTCAGAAAGAAGAGGGAAAACTAACCCAGCAAAAGCAATTACTGCCTAAAGGAGATCACAAGGTCAAGGCAGCAGCCAGGCCAGTAAATGAAACCTGGAGCAAATTAACTGGGAGCTCAGCAGGGAGAGGACAGGCTTCCCCACAGGAGAGTACTGTAAAGGGGATATTATTTGTGGAACCCAACATCAAAAGTCAATGTAACTAACTCACCTTGAGTGGAAGGAGTTGTAGAAAATGACTAAAAGATTGGGGGAAAAGGGATCAGAATCACCTTTATCCTGGGTAAATTATACCACTACCTACCTATGTGTTTTTCTAGTGTTCAGGAACATATCTGACTGCAGACAAGTGGGAGAGGTATAGGGTTGGCTTTTGGGATGCCCTGAACAATTCCCCACTTACTACAGAAATATCTATTTATATGGAGGCTGAAGAAGCAGGAAGGGACTCTGCTCTGTCAAATAATACCACAAGGAAGGGTTAGGGATGCATTGGGATGGTATCTGAGAAGGGTATAGGAGTTCCACATAAAAAAACCGAGAAAATCCAGTAAAACTTAGTACTGTTTCTCTGGGATTCAAAGGGTAGCTTCCAGATCAACAAATGCACTCAAACAGCTGAGTAAAGGTATGCTCCATGTGGCTGGATACAAGTTCTAAACCTTTTCTCTATTTCATAAAAATTCCCCTCTCTTCCCAGTTTCTCTCTCACTGAAAACTTTCTCCGTAGAGCTGCCCCTCCCCTCTCGAGTCGTCACCTGGTTATCATCCCGGTCCATGCTGGTATCATCTCTCTTCAGGATGAACCTCTGTTGAAATTCTACATTCTTCTCATCTTTGATATGCTCTGAGAACCTCTGTTCAGGGCTGGGGTTGTGGGAGAATGTTAGGGAAAGAAAGAGACCCTTCTGTTAGAAAGTAGACTGGATTTATTCTCTCATGGTCTACAACTGTCAATTCAGTTGGTGCTTATTAGAAGTGATCCCAGGGAGGTAACACTTCACTACAAATACAGGGATCTCCTTAAAATGTTTAGATCCCATTCTTTTATCCCTACTTGACTTTTCTGTCCTAGGGTTACACCTGTAATATCTCAGGAGAATCTAAGTGGAAAAGCTTGAGTTCATCTTCTAGGGAAAGGTGATTTATGCTATTTCTTCTGCCTGTTTCTTAAAAGGGCCTGAAGTTGCTGAAAAACTTAAAAATGTAACTAATGCAGGACAGCTAGGTGGCACAGTGGACAGAGCTCCAGCCTTGGAGTCAGGAGGACCTGAGTTCAAATCTGACCTCAGACACTTGATACTTACTGGCTGTGTGACCCTGGGCAAGTCACTTAACCCCAACTGCCTCACCAAAAAAAAAAAAGTATAACTAATGCAGGACTACTGAAAACAAACAAAAACACAGGAGCATAGGAACTGATGTGACAGGTCCAAGAATGAGTTGGCAGCATACCATACCCTTCCCTTAATGCGCAAACACCTGACCCTACATTTTCCAGGTAAAGGAGAGCTTTTCTAGTTTTTGCCCTCTTGCTTACATCCTTGTGTTACTGGTTTTGTTGATGATGACAGCTTTTCCAGTTTGGTCAACATTGTGGTCCATTCCAAAATAGGCAGCAACCCGGTGTAATAGCATCCGGTGATATGAGGTCATCTGAGGAAATTTCTTGAACTGGTTACTGGGGACAGCCCCAAAGTTGGGAAGAGAATAAAAGAGCACAAAGGAAAAAAAAATCAATTTAAGAGACATGATTTTTCTTTGTTTGTTTGAAAGTATCTGAACCAGATAGTTTTCTAAGAAAAAGAGGAACATTATAAGGGAGATATGTTCAATGTGAACCAATAGGCTTTTCCTACACCTCTTGTATCCAAGGCACTTTACTTTGTGCCAATATATTCAAAATGGGGACTCAGTAGGGAAATGGTGGGAAAAGCCAAGCGATGAAGGAACAGTAGAATTTAGGACAGGGACTGTTGAAAAGAAATAACTGATTTTTGTTTCTGGCCTATGCTGGTAGCTGGAAAAAAAGACCAAAAACCTTTTTTTTTTTTTGGCTTATACACACACAATGACTCCTATTTTGGCTGCTTCTCTCTTTTTGGTGCCTAGTGAGTACTTACTTTAAAATTCAGATTTTAAGGTAAAAATATACTATCCAAAGACACGGTCTAAGATTTCTTCCTGTAAGGACCTCCTCCCCTCCAAAAATGTGTTTCATACATATGCTACTTACTTGTTGTCATTAATGAATTCCAGAATCTCTTGTTCTAACTTTAGCAGCATCATTCTGTCCCTGTTTAAAAGATATTAAAAAGTACCCCTAACTGTTTAAAAGAATGAAAACACAACCCTCCAAAAATCATAGATGAAGAATATTTTCCAACCCTCCTTAGCAGATGGTGATACAAAGGCTGTCCAGGTTTCACCAGTCTATGCTACTGTGTTGTTAAAAAACAAAAATAAAAACAAGAAAGTCAAACCACCCAATCTGTTCACTTTCCCCCCTTTTTCCTTATTTTTTCACTTTGTTTTTAATGTGTTTAATGTTCTTCTGGAAGATATTCTGCGGGTGGCCATATTAATATAAACACACATTCAATTATTTTATAATCATTGTTCTACATTGCTTTGATCGTTATCTACAGGATTTTTATGCTAAGTGTCTAGCTTGTCATATAAAATAATTTTTAAAAAAACGTCTATGTTCTTTGTAAACATCCTATGCCTTCATTTTTACGCTCCCCTGTACAGCTACAATTTCTCCATAGATTTCCCTCCCCCAACATTCCAAAATCAGAAATCTCAATTGGCAATATGAATCTTTCACAAAATTAAACTCTACTCTGAAGACTCTGGATTCTAATAATAAGAGATCAGGCGCATGATTTACCTTTCCTCTACCATGATGGTCTACCCCTTAACCTAGGTCCATCCCATTTTTAAACACTACTGTTACCTTGGGTTTTTTTTCAGTGTATTTACTAGAAATTCATGTAGGTCTATTCCAGTGGAGTCTGTATATTCTTGACTGGAGTCTGGAATCACAATAACAAAAATACACAAAATAAGTAAAACAGACTAATGACCCCATACAATAGTCTTGATTAAGTCAGGAGAGAAAGATCCACACAATAAGGAATTGAAACAGCAAAACCAAAGACCAAAACCAAAAGTTGTTATCCCAACAGGCCAACCCTGTGACACTAACAAAATTAGGAATCTACACCACAATACTGCATCAGTATCATACTGAAAAATACCTCTTGACTCTTAGGTATTTAATTGAATGTCCTGAATATGACAGAATGGGTTGTTTCCAGCTCAGGGAGAAAATGGTAGATGGAGCAGATAGTGCTTCAACATTTAGAGTCTAAGCATAAATCATTCACAAAGTGGATCCAAAGGAAATTTTTAATATGGAATGCCTTCCTCTTGTCACTCAACATGGCTTGAGAATATCTTATCATCAGTCAAGAAGTTTAAAAGAAAAAGATAATTAGGAAGGTAACTCTGCATTTAAAGTTTCATATAATTCATTCTGCATTCAAAAGTCAAATATAAGCAATTTTTGGTTTACCTGGCATTATTCTTAATACTTCCATCTCTATTAAAATATATATCATAACTGCCTGAAATGTCCGCCTCTGAGGTAGTACTAATATAGTTGGAATATCTCCTGGAACTCAAGTGTAGGACAGGGTAAGAAGGAAAAGGAAATAATCTACATATCTCCTCCCCCAAGGAACCATGCAGTTAGCAAGATACTCCAAATTGGACAGGTAAGACCAGTGGAATCAAGGACTTAGGAAGAGAAGACCCAACCTGTGAAGGGGAAGATTCTTTCAGGGAGTTTCTAGGGAAGGGGAATACCTTACCTCTAGACAGCATTTTCCTTGGGACCTTTTCTTTATTTTTGTCTTTGTCTTCTTTTTCAGATCCATCTTTCATGGACTTCTCTTCCTCTTTGTCAGAGGGGCAACTGACATGCAACTGAATTATATCCTGGGAAGAAGGATCAGAATAGTATAGTCAATAAAGGAAAGGATATGCCAGCTAATCTGAATCTCTCTTCTACAGGAGAGAGTATGTTTATCAATATTTTTTTTTTCATTCTACTAAGAAACAATCCCTCTTAGGCTTACAGTTGAGGCAAAGTTCATTCTATTGGTTATCTATGTCTGCTATGGGAAGAGCTCCGGCTACACACACTGCTCTTAGTAATTGAAATTGGGTGAAAAAGCCCCAACTGCACAGGGTAGGAGGGAAAGATTATTGGCAAGAAAACTTATTCTCAACCCTTAAATTTCCTTGACTGGAACATCCTGGGTGGTCTATCTTCTCTGCTTAGTATGGCTATTGCAGCTTCAGATCATACTCTCCTTCCTCCATTCTCCCCTCTGACTTTCAAGTTAGATGTTCATATTACTTGCCATGTCTAACCAACAAGCTACCAAATCCAGAAGCTATTCTTCTTAGAAAGAACATACCTGGGTTTCCAGTGGCCCATCAACAAAAGGGGCAGAGGACTCCTCACACACTGCCAGGCTCCGTACCAGCTTCAGTTTAGAGTTAGACTAGGAAAAAAAATAAAGACATACGTAAGCTAAGGAATTTAGAGGCATCCTCTCTGGTTTTTGCCAAACACCTATCAGACAAAACAGTTTTACAAACTCGTGCAGGTCTGTGCAGGTCTACTACTTTTAAGGACAACTTGAATACTGGTAGCAATTATTCCATTAATGGTTGGGAAATAACCTAATCTGTGCCCCAAATCCAGACCCAGAAACCTAAGTCCAAAAAGGCATACTGTCTGAGAAGTGACCACAAAACAAAGAAAGAACAGCTGAAGGAAGGTATGCAAAATGGTGAATGAATGACTTCCACTCCATTGCCATGCTACAAAAGACTAGGCTGCCTGGGGTAGTTTATAAACTGGATGATCCTCAGAATCAAGCAATTTATTCTAAAAACCATTTCTATAAATCACTGTTCCCCTTTGGATTTTCAGAAAAAAACTGGAGGATGGAACGTTTGTAGCAAGCTCTACTTAAAAAGATACTTCAGAGAGCAATATGTTCATCCTTTTTCAACCCATTTCATCCTATCATTTGTTCATTTCCTTCTGCAAATCTGAAAAAAGGGGTCCACCCAATTCAATTCAATTCCACAAGCACTATTAAGTCCCCACTCTATTTGAGAAACAGTGCTAAGTTGTAGGGATAGAAAAATAAAAACATAACAATCCCTGCCCTCAAGGAGCTTATCTTGGGGGGGAAGGGAGAAACACAACATGTACAGAGAGAAATAAATACAAGATATACATAAAATAAATACAAAATAATTTGAGAGAGAAGTAAACTACAGCCACTTATTACAGTGATTAGAATGAGGAATCCCTCATTAAAAAAATGAGGATACTTAATCAGTTTTTCCAACTCATTCCAATTCTTTCATTTGGTGGCAAATACTTTTTTTTTTCAGGGTTGAAAGTGTTATTTCATAATAATCTCTCTTAGTATCAGCAGGATGTGTATGAAATGGAAATGAGTTATTATGTGGTAATCCAAGCATACACACTAGGGACAGGAAATGGAAACCCACACATGTCCAACAGAGACTAAAAGAAGAATATTCTTTACAGCCCAATGGAGACAGGAATGGGATACTTTTGGCCTCCAAATTCAGGTTAGTACAATGCTGTGACAGTTCTGCCCAGAGGCAGCTAAATGGCACAATGGATAGAGCACGAGACCTGGAGTCAGGAGATCTGAGTTCAATTCCTACCTGAGATATTTATTAGCTATGTGACCCTAGGTAAATCACTGCACATCTGCCTCAGTTTCCTCAACTGTAAAATGAGTATTATAGCCGCACCTTGTTGTAAGGATGAAATGAAGTATTTGTAAAGCACTTAGTGCAGTTCTGGCAACTTATTTTGTTTCTTTCCTTCCTTGGGCAGCTTCAAAGATGGCTTTCCAAAGCCTTCCCTTTTTTGCATAGGAAAAGTCTCATCTTTAATATGTAATAGAAATGCCCCCTCCTTTTCAGGAGTTCCAGGATGGTCATTCATGAGAACCAAGGTGTTATCTACTCCCTTTGATTCCTGCTATGATTTGGGATCTTTGACCAAAAGTCATCGGTTGAGGGAAATGTGTATGTGGGCCTGGAATGTTCTTGGGTTTATTCAAGGTTAGCTAAAAAAGGGAGGTGAAGGTTTCCTTAAAATGTATGTCTGGGATCAGATGGTCACTTAATTGTGAAGCTATTGAGAAAAGAGGGAGAGACCTCAGCTGCTTTAAGAAGCAAAAGTAAGAAATACTAAAACCCAGATATTAGTTGATCCATACTGGCAGAATCCTTAGGGAGTTCAGAAGGAATGACAGCACAGTATCCCTGCAGCACATTCTTAAGTGAATGAATCAAGGTCTTTGCAGGGTAGCCCAAAACCTAGTATAGCTCATCCTCTGGGCATCACAGAAGCGCTATCACAGCACACAGAGTGTTCAGCCATCACCTCTTCCATCCTCATGCAGAGAATCATTGTCATCTCACCTCCTTTTTCAGTCATACAACTTTGATAACTTTTAAGCCCACTTTTGAACAATTCTTCAATGGTAAGGTTCTGCAGTCTACTCATGTTTAGCATGTGTTTCTCCATTCTCCTTTGGGTGACTTAGAATTCATTCATCATTAACTGTCACTCCATGCTTAATCATACGGCATTACTGGAAAAATACTGTTGTTAAAAAAAAAAGAGGCTCTATTTGAAGAAGAAGCTGGGAGTCCCAGCATTATCCTCTCCTATTCAATTCTAGGCCTAATTCAATGTGCATATATATGTGGTATAATCCATAATACATATTTATGGAACCCTCTCTACCCCATTCAGTACATGGCATTATAAGTCATCCATCCAATGGCATATCATCGCATATCATCATCTGAACAATGGGCATCCATTCTTTATCCACTTGGTTTTTTCTGTGTGGATAGTTATATCAAACTCGGGAGTGGTTACAAGATAGAGGCTATGATGGCCTGGGGTTTGACATCCGCCAACAAGAACATCTGGAAAGTCTTATCATTTATAGGAAATCCCGCATCTATTTGTGCTATTACATGTCCTTGTAACATGGCAAATGCCTTCGACATGTATGTCCCACCTGACACATAATCAGAGCTGCTGAACAAAGCTATTTCTGTTTTTAACATAAGAATAGGAGATATCCTGTTGGAGAAGAGACTTTATTCATTCATTCATTCATTTATTGTGAGGCAACTGAGGTTAAGTGACTCGCCCAGAGTCACACAGCTAGTGAGTGTTGTGTGTCTGAGGCCGGATTTGAAGCCAGGTCCTCCTGACTCCAGGGCCAGTACTCTATCTACTGCGCCATCTACCTGCCCTGGGGTAGAGACTTCAAAGCAACTTTTTGCTCTACTTACTCAAACGAATTTTTATAACTGACAACAAGCAAAGTGGAAATTGAACTTTCCAGTCAACTGCATGACCATAAGATGTCATGTTGCAGATGGAGGACCAGCTTTGACTGAAGTCAGGAAGAAGAAGGTTCAAATAGTGTCTTTTAACACACAGTAGCTAGAAGATAGTCACATCCAGGGGTATACTAGTAAAAGTTTCACTACTGATTCTGTCCCTTCCCCCTAAATGTATACACAATACACTCTTAAGTTTAGTTTGTATTATTAACACTTTCTTCATAAAGAAAGGTTCGACAACATCTTTTTACTTCATACCATTCAATTCCTGATCTAATTCAACCCTCAACTCCCTTATAACAGAGCCAAAAAGTTAAACAAAACCAACCAATACATCAAACTAGCTTGACATTGTATCCAATATTCAGCATTTATTAAGAGGAAGAAGATGGTATTTTGTCATCTGTGCCCCCGAAACCAATAATGGCCATTGAACTTGAATTCAACTGCCTCTTGGTATTTTTGTTTACATTACTTTGTCAACAATAGATATATTGTTCCCTTGGTTAATCTTTCTTTGATCTGAACCAGTTCATAGAAGTACTTTTGAGTTTCCTTGAACCATTTATAATTTCTTAAGAAGTAAAAATATTCCACTTACATTCATATGCTGCAGTTTGTCTAACCATTCCCCCAATCAACAGGAACCTACTGAGTCCTGTTTATCTGAGGTATTGTTTTTGTTTTATTTTGTTTTTTGCTACTACCAAAATTAGTGTGTCAATTACTTTCACAAAATTGGTAAAAAAAAGAATAAAGCAGACATATAAGCTGAGTTATATTTTCTCAAATGCCTTTTTCAGTATTAATAATGAATGTGCATGTTTGTATCCTTCCCTCTTCTAGATATCATGTAAATCAATTCCTCAACACTGTCAAAAATGTGTCATACCAAGATTTCCTTTGAGTATAATAAGCTAATTCTTCCTATATTTTTCTTAGCATCTTTCCTACTTGCGCGTGTAAAATATTAGGGACCATAATGTTGGGATTTGTTTTATTCTGCTTTGTTTTTGGCCAGGACCTGTAATTTCAATAATATGGGGAAATGTGGGTGAGGAAATTATTCTCTAAAAATGGAAATCAGCAACTATTCTGAAACTTATAGTATTAAAAGATTCAGATTAATACTTATAGCATCAAAGATTAAGTGGCTTTCCCAGGGTCTATGTGTCGGAGGTGGGACTTGAACTCCATATGGGGTTGCAACACACAGTTTAAGAAGCACTGAAGGGATTTTGAGTGGAAAAAGTTTAAGGAGCCCTGTTTACCACGTTGGTTATTATGATGTGAATTATTTAAATCAATTAAAAATAACCATTGAACACATTTTTATCTGTACAATGAGAAAGTTGGACTAGATGGTCCCTGAGGTCCCTATGATCTTCTCATCTACTGTGTGCACAAAGCCAGGTGTTGGAGTGCACAAGAAAAGAAGTACAAGATGTGGTCTTTGCTCTTTAGAAGCTTATGACTGATTATGTGGTGAGATAAGGCTATAAAAAGCTGCAAGCACATCCAGATTGTTATTACCAAGGAGCTAGTAGAAGGAAAGTCTGTGGGGACCTTTTCCATCACAGCTGAGACAGAGATGGTTTATCACACTATGGCTCATGGCATGTACACATGCATGTGTGCACACACACCACACACACCTCTCCCCACCACATCAGACCAGATACATACACCATTATAGCTTTTCTAAACCATGTATTTCTTTGGGCAAACACGAGCAACACAGAAATAACCATTTCCACTGCAGGAGATGTTTTTGTCCCTTACTGCTCCCTCCACTAATTAATAAATTGTTACTTTGCTAACACCTTATATATCCCCTTGACACCTTTGCCTAAAATTATCTTTTTAGTATTACTTTTTAAATATTAATTTAAAAAAATCCCTTAACCCAAAATGCTAATAATTCTATATAATTAAGCTATTCAAAATTGTTGTCTCTTCTCTTATAAAATGGGAACATTTATTGGGAACATGATTTATTACAAGGAAAAATGTACATGGTCAGCATGTTCCTGAAGGCCACTGGTGAGAAGGACTTCCAACAGAACTAGCACAATTCACTCTGGCTCAAAGGAGGGTGGCTGGTGATAGACTGCTCCCTCTCAGAAAAGGAACAATAGAGCCACAACATCATAACAGGAACTTGAAGAGATGGTTTGAGATAGCTGGAGAGGCTTAGAGAAAAGATCTTGAGAAAGCTTTACCCATGTCAACTGAGAAAATTAGATAGGTATGATAAGTTGATCACAGCAATAGTGATCAATGCTCCTGGACAAAAGGCAGTAATTGTGGCTCTCTCACCTTGGCTCTTTTTCTGGCATGCCCATGGTTGGAAGCCCGTCTCTGCAAAAAAGGGGAAAGAAATAATTAAAGGCAAAATCAACACGTGAGTAAGTATCTTCTGGCTCAACCGAGAAAATCTATAGCTGTGGGAAGTATTCAAGAAGCACCTAGGCCATCATGAGAGTCAAGAGATAACTGCAGTACACTCTCCAAACTTGCAATTTCATTCTTGAAACAATAAAGCATCCAGAACTAACTGGCTACCCCACACGCCAAGAATGACCAGCTATGGCCAAGTCGTTTAACCTGTCAGGACTCAAAGTTCCATCTGTATGCAAGAGGAATAATAATGATGATTACTACAGCAGTGTACAGACTACCTGGGATTAGCATGGCAGTGATGGCTAGGAATGTGTGCCTCTACTAAACTGATTCAGAACATCCAACTTTGATCCAACAAAACTAAACTGAGCTGGTTTCCCCAGCTGGCTTTCATGCCATACACATTTCATTGCTTTCTTTTGTAATATTTTTAATTCTATGGTTTTGAAGAATAAATATTAATCCAAGGAAATTTGTAAAAATTGTTCTAAAATAACAACTTTAATGATTGTTAAGAGATATTGCTGCAGCTGCTGGTGTGGAGAAAGTCAAGCTCAAGTATGCTAACAATGAGACAGAACAGCTGGACTGAATCATAGAAAAAAGTATGGTCAAAAATAAGGGTTGGGGAGATGGGGAAGGGAGTAGACACAATGCCAAGGACTGAAAAACTACTGCTGGACAACAGCTTAACTAATCCTCAGAAAACAAAAGACCTTCTGAGGGTTCTGACAGCTGAAGGGGTTGTTCCTGATTCCTCTACAGTACAATTCAGAGTTCCTGAAGATAGAACACCAAGAAGAACAGTTTAATAAAAAAAAAATGCTGTTCGACATTACTATGCAGAAAAGATGCTTGTCATAGGTGAGACAATACAAAGACTGGAGCACTGAAGATAGGAAAATGTAATTTTTACCAATATAACTTTTTTTTTATTCAGTCTTACACCAAAATTAACAAAAGTAGTCAAGGTAAACCTATAAGATCTGGGTATGATATGAGACCATAAAACACTCACAAATATCCCTAAAATGTTTTTGGGATTTTTTTTTATATCTGGTGGCCTTATAAATCTTGTCCCTATTGAGAAAATGAACTATAATAAACATACTGATATACTGAGAAGGTGGCTTGTTCCAGAACTATAGAAATTCCCAAATGTAAATGGAGTACATCATGGCAATCCACCATGCCATACAACATGAAAGATTAAAAAATTTACACAAATGATGGAGATAAATATGTTTCAAGGGCCTAGAAATAGGCCTAATTTAAACCCCATTAAATTTATGAACTATAATAATCAAGGTTAGACCTGGAAAAGTGCATTTAATGACAGATCATATAAAACATATTAAATGGATTCAGATTTGCAAGAATAAAAGCCTTTTCCCAAATGACAAGTAAAGGATATGAATAGACATTTTTCAAAGGAAGAAATCCCAGATATCAATAGCCATATTTTAAAAAATGCTCCAAGTCACTGATAATTAAAGGAATAAAAGTTAAAGCAATTCTGAGGTTCCACCTCACATCCATGAGATTGGCAAAGTTGACCAAAAAAGGGGAAAATGACAACTCTTGGAGGGGCTGTGGCAAAACAGGCATATTAATACATTCATAGTGGAACTATGAATTAGTCCTGCCATTCAACAAAACTATTTAGAACTATATCCAAAAGGTTACTATGCTTTGCCCTTGAGATACCACTACTAGGCCTATACTTTAAGGAAATCAAAAAAAGTAAGAATAGGATCCTAAGGTACATGAATTTTTTATAGCAAATCTTTTTGTGGTGGCAAAGAACTGGGTACATGTCAATTTAACAACACTATTGCATCATAAAAAATTATGAGTTTCAGAGAAACCTAGGAAGACTTATATGAACTGACACAGAGTAACACAAACAGAACCAGGAAAATTATTTGCATAATAACATTTTAAAGACAAAACAACTTTGAAAGACTTAAGAACTATTATTAACACATTAACCAACCACATTTCCAAGACTGATCATAAACCATGCCAATAAACTCTAGACAGAGACATTGGAGTCAAGATTCAATTTGAGATATATATTTTTTTACACATGGCTAATGACAGAATTTGGTTTTTTAAAAATCATATCTGTTATAAGGGCCTTGTTTTTCTTTTTTATCAACAGGCCAGGGGAAGGCAGGAAGGAGAGCAAACGAATTTTTTTAAATTTTTAATTAATTTATTTTAAATTATCAACAATCACTTTCACAAGCTTTTGAGTTTTAAATTTTTCACCCCCTCCCTCACCATCTCCCTTCCCAAGATGGTGCACAATCTGATACAGGCTATACATATATAATGAATTTTTATTTAAAAAAAATTAAATCAAAAGAATAAAAGAAGTACAGCAAAAGAAGGTCATGTCACATAATAAAAGGTTTTTTTTAGGACGTAAAATCATAAAGTTTATAAAGTAAACACTTAATTAACTTTGTTGCAGTTAATTTGCTCACCACTGCATCTTCCTCAGATGGTTACTGTGAGGTTCAAATAAGATTATATAAAGTCAAACGGCCATTCCAAGACCCCAACAATTATCATGAAAAAGTCATTTAACTTCTCTGAAATCTGAGATTCCATAACTATAAAATAGAAATAATAGCACTTATACTATCTACCTCACAGATTTATTTTGGCCAAATATTTTATAAACTTGAAAAAACTATGTAAATGAGATTTTCATGTAATCAGAATTGACCATTTTATCTTCTACATTTTGTGGGTCTTTTTTTTCTTTTGTTGTGAGGCAATCAGGGATTAAATGACTTGCCCAGGGTCACACAGCTAGTAAGTATCAAGTATCTGAGGCCAGATTTGAACTGAGGTCCTCCTGACTCAAAGGCTGGAGCTCTGTCCACTGCACCACCTAGCTGCCCCCATCTTCTACATTTTCTATTCCTAAGTATGAGACTGTATTCATTTGACTAGGTCATTTAATACAGGATTCATCAGTCAGGAGCTCATAAAAGTATTGGTTTTGTTTTGCAGATCCCAACCTATTAATGATTACAAAACATTTGTTTAAAACTTAAAATTTATTTTCCCATAGGAATAGTGGTATTATGCCAGTGTATAAAAGTCTATTTTTTTTATGAAGTATGGTACAAATATTATTTAACTGACAATTATGGCAGTGCTTTTACGGGCAAATTTTTTTGAGGTAAAAAATAAGAAGAAACAAAGTAGGTGTCCAACCATGGTGGAATGGCTAAGTAAACTGGTACACAGAATATTACTTTGCTATTAAAAAAATGACAAAGATAAAGAATTCAAAGAAACATGGGAAGACTTACATGAATTGACACAAAGTGAAGTAAGCAGAATTAGAAAAATATTATATGTAATCACTATAATACAAGTTGAAAGAACAAAAATAACCACTGAATGCTGAGCAACTGAAATGCCCAAGTTTGGCCCTGAGGAAGTTGAGAAGATGTACCTCCCTTTCCTTTAACGGAGATAATGAGGACCATGGGTTTGGAAATGTTGCATATATAGTCTGATTAAGTTTATATGCTGCCTAATTTTGCGGAATTTTTCCCTCTCTTTTTTTATTATTTATTATGAAGGATGTATTTCTGGGAAAGGGCATACCAAGAAGGGTGCGGATATAGAACTTCAATGGGTCGACAGGACAGATTTGGTGGCAGGGAAACAATTCTATGAAAGTGCATTTAGTATTCCAAATAGAGACGCCAAAAACATCTTCAACAGTCCAAGGGCTGAGAGGTGTTACCCCGTTCTTCACCCTCTGCGTCATACTGGCTGTCAAGACAGAAGAGACAGGGACTGTTTCCACAAAGGTTCCAATTTTTGTGGGAAGTCTCTATAAGCAGTGACTCCGACAAGAATGCAGGCTCCTAAAGGGTGGTGGCAAGGCCTTAAAGGGTATTGTTTCCTTCAGGAAGCAACAAAAATAGTATCGATACAAAAGCTTCTGCAGCTTCCACAACAGTATGGAGAGGTGAGGAAGGCTGCAGTATCTCCTTATATGTATATTATGCATGTGATGGATTTTTGTAAGTAAAAGACTACACAAACTCTACTTGCTTCTTAGACCACATAATAAAGAGATTAGCATTGTTTACAATGACCTCTTGAGAAAAGAATAACTTAGTCACAAGAGCTAATTTAATTATATCTTTCATCATTATATGACAGGACATAATTTAGCATTCACTACTTATCTATCTTAAGGATTCATTAATGGTATCTGGAGTCAGTGACTAGAGGAATAGGTGAATATTTGCTGACATGAAATTTGTCTTTATTACCACAGTCAGAAAGGAGAGAAGGAACAGATAACAGGGAAATGGGGGAAGAAAGACAAAGGGAGAATAGAGTGAGGAACCTGCACAGGGACCTGGTTCATACCAGGTAATTTCATAGAGGTAAATATACAATCTTCATCAACTTCATAAGATAGGAGAGGTGTAGCTAGAAAAAGATCAGGATGTCTCAATGGCCTGTAAACTCAATATCAAGCAACAGTGATAAAGCAGACCAGAAAGCTTGTGCAATTTTAGACTGCAATAAGGGTGGTACAATTTACATGAATAAAGAGGTCACATCACACTGGGAATACTCAATTCGGCTCTGGGAAAGAAGGAAACCAGTAACCTTGGAGAGTTTACAGTAGTACAAATAGGACTGTGAAGGGCTTCAAGTTCATGTCATATGAACAGTTGAAAGAATTTGGAATTTTTAGCTCAGAGATGAGAAGACAGAGGGGAAACCTAAGAGTAATTCTCTAAGTATCTGAAATACTGTTATGTGGAAAAAAGTATTTATTAGGGGCAGCTAAGTGGCGCAGTGAATAGAGCTCCAGCCTCGGAGTCAGGAGGACCTGAGTTCAAATGTGACCTCAGACACTTGACACTTACTAGCTGTGTGACCCTGGGCAAGTCACTTAACCTCAC